TGTAACTGTCATGAATATTTATGGAGTGGTTTATACTAATGAAGAAAATTCTAGGTCTGTAAAGAGCTTCTAATACTCTGTTTCAGAACAAGTTTTATTTTCTTATAACCGCATATCTGTTCAGGAATACGAAAATCAGCATACTGCAGAGGCCAAGTTTGTAAAACAGTTGGATCAGTGTGAGATGATACTGCAAGCATTTGAGTACGAAGAGTTGGAAAACATGCCTGGCAGACTGCAGGATTTTTATGATTCAACGGCTGGTATGGCATTTGGGCTTAATTTTATTTTTTTTTCTTTCATAAATGAAATGAAATATACAGATTGCTTTTTTCCTGATAGACATCCAGAGCAAGCGAGAACTAGTTATTTTACTCATTGTTCAAGTACCCCAAGTATTTTTGGAGAAACTTACTGCAAAGTGAAAATACCTTATATTTATCTGTAAGTTTTGAACCTGAGCTTCATTTATCCCAAGTTCCTTTTACATCACTTTTTACTTACGGAGAGGCCTAGCTTTCATTACACTTGCATGTTTAAGGATCTCCCTGTAACATCAGAGGGGGTGTTAAAGGAGGCTTCAGTCTCGACCAGTGCTCTGACACCAGCTTGTTTCTACTTTTTGTTTGTGTTTCATGAACGAGTGAAGTCGAATTTGTTATCCCTCTGTGAGCTGTGGCCTTGTGTGACCTGCCCGAGATGCGTGAGCACCAGCTCAGTGAAATGTTTCAGGTGTAATTGTATTACTTTTTATTCTGTCTGCTGCTTTTCATCTTTTCCACAATAAACTGAGAGTTGAAAGGAAAATTATAAAAAATAATGGTCATTATTATTTTAGCAACGGAATTGAACACCAGGAGAGCACTGTGACTCTAACTCGTCCTGTCCTGTGAAAAAAATACGGACAAATTCAGGGAGAGGACCAGCAATCACCAGACACAATCGCTGACAAGTCTCCTTAGCAAAATAATAAGCTGTCTGAAAAATGCAATAATTGGATTAGGGAAGAAGGGGAAAAAGGACATCACCATAGCTGGAACACTTTATTTTTCTAGTTGACATTTTTGCCCTCTTACTAGAACTCAGTAATATGAAGCTGGTGTCTTGGTAGAGCCCTGGTGTGGTGCTGACCTGTGCCTGTACTGGGAGTGGTTTCCTGTGGTAGGATACCCAGCATGGCATTGTCCTGGTCAGAGTGTATACTTTTTTCAACTTTTAAGCACGAAATATTTTTCTGAGTTTTGGGATAAATATAGCTGTGACTACTGTTATGTGTATTCCATAGTTGGAGTAAAATGGGAGTATTCTCTTTCCTGAAAGCATAATCTGGCATTTAATTTGAGCCTAAAGCAACATCACTGCTAACCCTTCGCTGTCAAACTTCCACATGTATGAAAATGAGAGTGTTTTTAATTAATTTTCCCTTTCTTTTGTTTTGCAGGGAAGTTTGTTCACCCAGAAATACTCCAGCTTGTATCTCTGATTAACACAGAAAGGAATAAAAAAATAGCTGCTGCATCTCATCCACATTCCTGAGGTGTTCCTAAATGCTGTAGCTATAATAAATATTTTGTTTTATGTTCTGTGCATTATTTTTCCTCCCATAACATCACCTTGCCGCTGCTGAGCCTGGGCCTTCCCCAGTGCCTCCTGCTCTGCAGCATCGGTGGGGATTGCTACTGGGGAGGGGTCAGGTTTGATAATGGGCTTATATATAGTTCTTTATTTTTTATCATTTCACTCTTATTTCCGTTATTGTTTCATTCAAGCTGTTGTAGTTTTTCTTTCCTAGCCCATATGTCTCTCTGCCTCAGTCCCTTTTCCTTGCCATTTGGGAGGGGAAGAGGGAGTTAGAGAGCGTCTGTCCGCATTTAGTGGCCAGCCCAGCCCTAACCCGTGACACCTATGGACACCCTGGGAGAACAAGCTGTGCTTCACCGAGCAGTATGAAACTTTAGTGGTTATTGGTGGCTGCTTGTCATGCTGCCTGTCTTTCAGCATTTTTATTCCACCAAGATGCATCTCCATTAGTTTGTGTTGATTGCCAAGTGTGAAAGAGCTACAGGTGTGTTGGATGGCAGAACTGAGGACATTCCTGACAACCAGGAGGACCGGCCTTCAAGAGATGTTTGGTAGAAGCACACATGGCATGAGCTGCTGTTCCTACCCCGGCAGGAACAGGCAGTTTGGAGGCTGTGCTGGCGGGCAGTACACAGTTCTGCGGGCAGGGCTGCACCCCAGTCTGCAGTGTGATGGCGCAAGGTAAATATTATCCTGGGAAATGGTGTTTGAGTGTGCATCGTGCAGGGTTTGGTTTCGTTTAAAGAAATCTGTCAGGTGCCTTGTGTAAAATTACATTCACTTCTGCCTGCTGCAGGTGCATTGTGTGTCAGTTTTGGGCGCTGAATTTTAACAGAAATAGGAATTGGCTGGAAAGAGACAGCAGGAGAAAGTGCAATCAGAAAGCACAAGCCGTGCTGACAGGCTGACAAAAAGGTTAGCAAACAGCCGGCGGGGCTTCAGGCCTCCGAAGGCACTACTGAAGCACCCTGTTCACGTGTGGGACAAACGTGCTGGACACGCGACCTGTGAGAGGAAATCACCTCCTCCCACGTCGTTCTCCTGCTGTACTCCTGTCAGCATTGACCCTACACATT